CCGGCGGGGGAGCTGGGAGAGGGCTTGATGGGGCTTTGGGAGCGGCTGTCCAGCGACGGCGCAGCTGCCGACCTTGCGGATGGTAGCGGCGGCGGAGACGGAGGAGACGGCATACCTCAAGCCGCCAGCGATTGCGGTGGCGGCGGTGGCAGCGAAAGCGCGGCGACACCACCGGATGCTACAGACGTGACAGCCGTGTCACTGATGGCCGTCGCCGCCGCCACAGGCGCCGAGCTGGTCGCAGGTGCAACGGGCATTGATGCAGCCGCGCACGGTGGCGATATGGCGCCGGACGAGTGCAGGGAGGAGGTTTTGCACGCCGTCCCGTCGCTCGTAGAACCTGGCGGCGCCGGCGGGCCCCAGCCGTTCTTCGCGACGCCAATGACGCCGTACACAGCCGTACAGCCAGGGCCGACCGAACGATCGAGTGCCGTCCCAGCAACGTTTTCTCCATTTATTTGCCCCGCAGTTGATGCGGATTTGTACTGTCAGGAAGTGGCGGAGGCGGCAGCGGTAGGGGTGGGGGCAGCTGCCGCCGCCGCCGCCATTGCAATAGAAGCAGTCGACGACAGCGTCGTGGCGGCGCCGCTGGCGCCACCCTCACCGCCAGGTGCCGCCGCCGCCGCCGCTGCTAACGGCGGTCTTTCCGCCGCCGTCAACGGCGGCGGCCTGTACCCAATGAACGGTCCCTTGATCTACGGGCTGCAAGACGTCTGCGATGTCAGCAGCAACCTCCGTTTGATGGAGCCGTACGGCAACACGTACGGCAGCACGTACGGAATCGACCTCGCCTCCATGATGGGTGGCCCTTCAGACCCTCTCCTATCCATCTCTGGGTTGACTTTGTTGACCCCTTCGCCGTACTCAGCGCCGCTACCCGCCACCGCAGCTGCTTCTGTCGTCGGCGGATGCATCCCGGAACCCGTACTTGCCGCCGGTTCCATATCCTCCGCTGCGGCTGGTGCCGCCGCCGTCGCCGCCGCCGCCGGCGACGAGGAGGTTCAGCTTCCCTTGCCGCAGCCTTCTAACGTCGTCGCAGAGGCGATTGGCGCATATTTTGAGCATTTGTTGTCGACGCCGCAGGCGCCACTGCCACCGTTGCCGTCGCTGCCTCAGGAGCCGTTGATGGACTGGCAACAAGCAGAGCAGCCGCCGCCGCCGCCGCCGCCGCAGCAGCAGCAAATGGATCAGCAGCAAATGGATCAGCAGCAGCACGCGGAGGAGCACACTCAGGCAGCGGGCGAACTGCTGCAGGGAGCGGGGGTCGCGGGGCGCCAGGCAGCGGAGCAGGTGCTGGAATGGCAGCTTGCGGATGCAGTACTGCAGCGGCAAGACCAGCCGCTAACGTTGCACGTGCCTCCGTCGCCGCCGGCGCCGCTGCCTCTGCCTCATACTCAGCAGCAGCAGCATAATGGGCAGCAACACAAGCAGCAACAGCAGCTAGAGCTGCAGCAGCCTTCGGAGGTACTGGAGCCGCCCCCACCGTTGCCACTGCAGCAGCAGCAGCACGACCCACAACAACAATCGGCGGAGCCTCTGCAGCTCCAGGCGCCTGCGCAACTACAGCAGCAGCAGCAGCCGGGGTTACAGGGACTACTGGCGCCAGCGCTACCGCTGCCGCAACAGCCGCAGCAGAAGCAGCACCAAAACGACTTGGCGCTGGGGCAGGAGACACAGCTCTTGGATCAGCCGCCGCTGCCCCCCTTACCACACTCACCTCTACCGCAGCAGACGGAAGAGGCATTGAAGCCGCCGCCGCCGCCGTCGCCGTCATCACTGCCGCCAGTGCCACCGCAGGAGCTATTGCAGCAACAGCAGCAGCAGCAGCAACAGCTACTTCTGAAGTCAACCCCAGAGCAGTCCGAGCCTGGGTTGCGGACAGCGATGGCGGCGGCTGAGACAGTTGCCGATGGCAGCCTCCTGGAGTTACAGCAGCAGCAGCAGCAGCAGCAGCAGGAGGGGGAGAGTCGGGATGTTGCAGTTTCATCGCACCAGAGATCTTGCCTGCCGGCGCCGTTGCCAGTGGCGCCGTTGCTGCTTTCACTGCAACTGCCGGTGCTACTGCCGAGGGGGCCGTGACCGGTGCTCATGGTGCTGCTCCCGGCGGGGTCGCGGCCAATGCTGCTACTGCGGCGGCTGCTACTGCCGTCAGTGGCGATGTCGCACCCGTGGGCGCTGCACAGGGTTCTCAGTGTTGGGCGGTTGGAGGCTCCGGTGCTTGGGCAGTAGCCGTGTTGGGCGGCGGCGCGTCCACTGTGGCGGCTGAGGAGGCTGTCGCGCCTGCCGCCGCTGAAGGGGCCGCTGCTACTGCCTGGGAGGTCATCGACGAGGTGGCAGCTGACGCAGTTGTAGGGCCCATCAGGACCGACATCAAGGTGCAGCGTGGGGCGGCGGCAGCGGCGGGAGCAGCTGTAGCAGCAATAGCGGCGGTGCATTCCGGGGCGGCGGCGGCAGCCGAAGCCAGCTGCGGTTCTGGCAGCGGTGCGATACGGGAGGGTGACGTACATGTCGCCGCTGACGCAGGCGGTCAACTACTGCCGGGTGTAATGTACGACGACCATGTGGCGGATATCCCAACTGTGAATGATGATGCCGTACCCGCTGACGCGGCAGCCCTTGACGCCGCCACCGCCGTCGATCCGGCGGCAGTGAGCACGGTGTACGGCAGGCCAGATGTTTTGGGCGCTGGCGGCGGTGCACAAGGCACAATGCCACACGGCCTCGGCGAGTTGGCCTCTGAACTGCCCGTCGTGAGTTGCTCAACCGGCAGCGTTGTGCTTGGGGCCGACGGCGTCTTGACGCCAACAGCAGTGGTTTCGGAGCAAGGGGGCAGCGGCGGCAGCGGCGGCGGGGCAACCCCGCTGGCGACAGCGCTAGCCGTTCCGCCGTACCTGCACTCACTGCAGCTACCGGCAAGCTCAGTCGTACACGGCCGACCTATCGTGCACGAGGCCGCCACGCCGCGGCGCAGCCACGGCGGCGGCAGTGCTGTCGAAGAGACAGCCACCTCCTTACTGTCCACAAGGCAGCCAACTGCCGTCGCCGCTGCCGTCGTCGCCGCCGCCGTTGAGACTGCGGTGGCGGCGGAAATCGGGAACCTTTCTGCTGAGTATGCCGCCAATGTACCTGGCCTGTCACGGAGCTGCAGAAGTACCGAGGAGCCGAGTCCCCTGGTCAGCCATGTCACAAGCCATAACGACGGGCGGGCGGTGGCGGCAGCGTTGGTGCCCGATTGCGAAGACGCGAACCGAGGGGGTGGTGGCGGCGGCGGCGGCGGTGGTTTCGGAATTCATGCCGCTCTGGCGACTGGGACCGAAGCTAGGATGACGCTGCAGGGCGTCGGCGGCCCCGGCGTCGGCGTCGGCGGCGTCATGCCCGCCGGCTGCAGCCGCAGCAGCGTTCCGCCTGCCGCGCCCGCGGCCATGGCTGCTGCCGTCGCGGGCGCTGCCGCCGCGCCGCTGCCAGGTGGGCTCCTTAGTTGCTTGGGGCCCGCTAGTCAGCAACTGCCACCTCATCTCGCGGCGGCGCTCTTTGCCAGAGCTCGTAGCGGCGACGGCGGTGGGGGCGACGGCGGTGGGGGCGGCGGCGATGTAGGCGGCGGCGGGGACTTCCGTGTCGGCATCAACTCCATGTTGGCGGCACAGCTACCTGCCCCCGCACGCGAGGCCTTGATTGCGGCGGCAGCGGCGGCGGCGGCGGCAATTGGACCCGGTGGGGGCGACAGCGGCCTCCTTGGAGCAGAAGCCGCCGGGCCGGCGGTGGCGTTGCCTGTACGGCAAGACGCAGGGCCCTGGCCTAAGGAACATGGAACCGTCCTAGCTGGGGCCCAGCGGCAACCACCGCAGCGTGCGGAACAACTTTTGGATCGGGATGGCGAGGGTGAGGAGGGGAGGCAATGGTGGCGGCGGCAGCGGCGGCGGCGTGACGTCAGCATCGAGCGGCAGCGGCGACTGGGAAGTCCACGCAGCTCCGACGACGAAAGTCCTCGTCGCGATCGGGACGGGGATAGAGACAGCCGGCGGCGGCGGCGTCGGCGGGAGTCTGAGAGTCCCTCCCCCCGTCGACGGCTGTCGGTTAGCAGTTCTCCCAGCCGCCGCCGCCAGCATGGGAGCACTCCTCCGCTTCGCCGCCGCCGTCAAGACGACTCTCCGCGTCGCCTGGGCCGGCGTCTGTCTCGCTGGGATATCCCGATTCCACGGGAGGGGCAGGAGCAGACAGCAGACGAGTATTGGAAGGGCTCCTTTCTACAGCAGCAGCAACAGCAGCAACAGCAGCAGCAGCAGCAGCAGCGGCGCCGTGGGGGTATAGCTGCAGCTGCGGGCTGCAGCTTCGGGCGGGATGAAAGGTGGCCGGGAGCTCCAGAAGTGAACCCCCCTCGTCGCGAAGTAGACGAAGAGGAAGACGGCAAGGCGAGGGGGGCCGCCGGCGGCGGCGGCGGTGGCGGCGGGGCCGTTCGAGACCGCCGCGGCAGGGAGGGCTATGAGCGACGATCGCCGCAACGTACCCTCCGTCCTCCACTTGACGTCGTACGGCAGCCGTACGACTCCCATGATACTCACGTGCCCTGGCGGGGGGCCGGCAACACTGGCGGCGGCGGCGGCGGCGCCGATTGGGGCCCATGGCACTGGGACCGCGGTGTCGACGGCTGGAAGGGCGGCGCTGGCTTCCGTGGCCGCGGCCGCGGTCGCGGAAGCGACGGCGGCGGTGGCGGCGGCAAGCGGTTTGATGGTCGCGGAGCGCCTTGGGTCGACCGCGGTGAATTTGGCGGCTACCACGCCAAGGCGCGCGTGGAGGGCCGGGGCAGGCGGTTTGACGACTACCACGCACACGACGCGCATGATGACGGCGGCGGCGGGCACCGGCGGCCCAACGACTTCCCCTCACACCACGTCGACTCGCACCAACAAAGGCCAGGCGCTCGCGGATATGACGTGCCGTACCACAGCGGCGGTAATGGCAGCGAGCGGCCGTGCCGTGGCGGGCAGCCGTTGTTGCGGTCGGAGGAGCACAGGGAGGATGAGCGTGACGGCGGCGGCAGCAACGGCCGTACCGGGCCTCCTGATGGCCTCGAAGCGACGGAACGTCCTTGGCAGCTGCCAGCGGGACTTCCGAAGCGTGTTGGCTGGCCGGCGGAGGACTGGGAGCAGGCAGAGGTATTGACGCGGCGTCGGCACGATCAGCTGCGTCATGGTACTCGGCGACCTATCATCGGACAGACGCCGCCGCAACCGCCGCCGCAACCGGCGCCGCTGCAAGCGGCTGATGCGGTCGCATGGGAGAAAGAAAAGCCGAAGCCCGGGTCACAAGATCACGAAACGGATGCCGGTGCGCGCTACGACGCCGTCATGCGGCAGACACACGAGCCGGCCGGCGGTTGGGGCGTCCGAGACGTCAGGATTAGGAACTCGCATTCGGATTGGCGGCAGCCGGCGGCGGCGGCGGCGGCGGCGGCGGCGCCAGCCGGTGATCGCGGCCGTGCCGCCGCTGCACGATGCCATCATCAACCCGGCTGGCCGCCGCAACCTCCGCATCCTCGGCCTTCCACACGGACTCCTGGACCGGACGGTAAGGCTCCGGTCAAGCAGCAGCAGCAACAGCGGAGGTGGGGTTCCGAAGCAGGATTACGCCGCCCCGGGCTGTCTAACTCACAATCCTCCGGGTCCGAGTCCGAGTCGAGCACGCTCTCTTCCAGCCGCGGCTTTCATCC